TATATATATATATATATATATATATATATATATATATATATATATATATATATATATATATATATATATATATATGAACNTTAAATGCTAAGCACGAGATAATATGAAAGATTAATGAAAGAAATTGAATACGAATTCAATTATTGGATAACTGCTAATGACGACCATTATTAATAAGGCTTTGTTAGCATGTTATTTATTTGCTTACAGATATGATCATAACATCTCATATATAAAATTAGAAAAACAATAACTATTAATAAATAATTTTTGTCAGGTTAATCCATTAATTAGACCAACTATTGTTTAAAGCTAATACAATGAAACAAATTAGCTAAATCATTAATGAAATAAATTAGCCAAATCATTAAATTCTGTAGAAGAAATAAATAAATAAATAAATAAATATCTAATATTAAAAACTAAAAGCTTCGATAATTTACGGAAAAATAAGAAGACACAAAAAAGATAATTAAATGAAATATTTTCAATTCAATTCATATTTTTGTTTGAATTTTAAATAAGAAAATTTCGAATCCTTTTTTTTAGAATATATATTTCAATTCTATTTCAATTTTGAAAACATATTAAATACATGGGACACAATAACATTAAGCGCACGTTGCCATTGGTAACGATTTATTGATTTGTAGCAAATAACATTTCCGCCCAACAGCGGCAAATGGTCCATTTTCATTTTTCTCAATTCAATAATGTCAATTTATCCCCAAGTAAAAGATCAAAAAGCTTTTTCATCTCAATGATAATATCGATTTATCCCCAATAAAAGATCGGAAAACTTCTTCGTCCCGATGATAATATCGATTTGACCCCAATAAAAGACCAGAAAACTTCTTTATCCCGGTGATAATATCGATTTATCCCCAGTAAAAGACCAGAACACTTCTTTATCCCGATGATAATATCAGTTTATCCCCATATTTATCCCCAGAAAAAGCTTTTTCATCCATTGCATTATCATATTTACTTCATTATTATTTCTTATTTTCCTCTTCTATTTCCTGTCTTTATTTCCACTTCATTTCATTTTAATTCCTTTTAATGTATGTTTTTAATCGATAATAATGTCAAAAATTTCTCATGTATTTTCTGCGATTATCGGTTATAAACTTATCCAGATAATGGAGCATAAAAAATCTTGTAATTGAATAATTAAGGACATAATTATAAGGAATATTGATGATTAAACAATGTCGAAACTACCAATTACTATTCATATTAAATTATCACGAATTATTATTTTAAAAAAAAAATTCCAAATCGTTCAATGAATGATATCAGTGTGAGCATCAAATGATTTAATAGCTGCTGGAAAAAGTTTGAACAATTAAGCATAAAATTAATGGCTATTCGGTATGTTTAAATAATACTTAAGTAATAAATATTTACTTATTAATATGCTAAATTTCAAATGAATAACAAAAAAGTTTGCCACATTAAAAGTATTCATATTCAAAATCAATTAAATTAATTAAGCTATACGAAGCATTCATATTCAAAACTAATTTAATCAATTAAACTATAGGAAGAAGAAAATGTATGCTAAAATGAATGGATTAAAATATGCTTGTAATTTGAATAATATTCATTGTACAGTTAATAAACTTCCTTTGTTTTTGCTTTCCAAATAAGAAAGTATTTAAATATAATACACGAATGAATGATTATAAATTATTTCTCCCCTCCTCTCTCTCTCTCCCTTTGTTAATTTATTATTCTATAATTCATTTGTTAAATTCGAATCTAATTGAAAAATCACTTGAAACTTTTCAAAAGCTTGAAATTATATAAATAAGGGATAAATTAGAAGCAGACACAAAAAAAATTGTGATATTTTCAACATATTTTTTTCTATTTACTTTTCTCGAAAAAAAATAATGAAAATTTTAGATCATCTTATATTTTGTTTGTAAAATTTGAATTTCTTTTCTATCAATTAAATATCAAAACTGCTTTGAGTAATCAATATTTTCCTATCGATTAAATTTCAAGATTGCTTTGTATAATTAATATTTTCCTATCAACTAAATGTCAAAATTGCTTTATGTAATTTTCCTACCAATTAAATACCAAAACTGCTTGAAATAATTGATATTTTTCCATCAATTAAATATCAAAATTGCTAGGAATAATTAATGTAATAAGATTTTGACAAAATTTTTTCCATACCTTTTTTTTCCTCAGTTCTTAGCTAAAATTATTTGAAGGGAAATAGTTGGAAAAAATATTTATTTCAACAAAAAAAATTTAGTGAATAATATATTTTTTCCGTTAGTGAAAAAAAATGCTAAAAAGAATTATAATAATATTTTTCTCTTTGGGATAAATATTTTTCTGTTTTTTTTTTACATTTCCGCCTCATTATATGTCGTCATATAAATGAGGCGGAAATGTGAGCAAAACAAAATGCGCAATTACTTTAAATATATGCATATAATATATAAAATATTGTGTATTGAAATGTGAGAAATGATTATTTTGTCATATTTTATCATTTATTATTGATCATTTCAGGATGTGAATTTCATTGAAAGATTAGAATTGATAGATAGGGAACAGTTAACAATTGCGAGAATAATTGCTAATTATTTGAAATTAATTTTAAATTAAATCTGTCGCCGAATTTCTCAATCTCAGACTTGGCTAATTTATTCCTCAAAACTCGGTAGTACAGAAACGAATTCAACAATTATAATATGAATATGAACAAAGGGAGGACCAAAGACCAAATGACGCCCGTTATCGTCTTTCCCAACTGACCTGTTGGAACACGTCTTTCCAAAATGATCGGGTGCTCAGGACCTTCTTCTTTTTATTGCTGCAATTTCGCGTTATGACTTTCGGAGTTTTTCCGACAAAATTTGACAAAAGAAGAAGATGAAGAATTTAAGAGATTTTTAAGGCTTACAAATTTGGCTAATTTAGCTAAAGCGCAAAAAGAAAAATGAGGTATGAGAAGTAAGGATGGGATTTTTCTTTTTTTTTTTGAATATAGAAAATCGTTATAGGCAAGGAAGCGGGCGGAGATAGAGATGTAAGCAGTAAGAGGTTATGCAATTAAATTTGCCGCATTACGACTTCTTACATCGTTAATATTTTTAGTTTTCGAATTTCAAAATTTTAGATATTCAAATTTTACTGCTATTAGAGCAATAATTTTTGTATTAATTTAATATGATAATTGAGTCGAAATGTTTTTTTTTTGTTTTTTACTTTTTCCATTTTGTAATTGTTGTCTTTTTTTCTAACTTTTAATTTTCAACCTTTCTAGCTTGTTTTTTTTAAAAAAAGAAACTCCAGATTATTATCAATTTATTTTATTCAATTGTATATTTTTCGTTTTTTTTCAATAAATTTATTTATCATGACAATAAAAAAGTTCTGCTAAAATATTTAAATATTTCAGAATTTCGAAATTGAATTTCTGCCAAAATTAAGCAAAAAAAGTTGTATTTCTTTTTTGGCTAAATTCTAATGTGAAATTATCGGATTTATTTCGTCCAAATCACTTTCATCTATTTAAATTCCTTTTTTTTTGATTTCACAATTGACATTATACTTTTATGCGATATGAAATGATAAATTTTAATTAAATTTTCAATATAAGATAATATATGCATATTTGAAAATTTTTTTTGGCATTCAATTTCTTGGCAGTAACATTTTAAAATTTATTGACCATTTTCTCTATCAAATAATTAAATTTTATATCAAAGAACTGACAAAAAAAATTTATCTAGCAAGTTTATTTACAACGTAATTTTTCGAATGATATTATCAATTACTTCATTAATGATTTTTCCATATTCAAATTAAATTAAATGATGAATTCGAATTCGAAATCTATGAGATGTAACACTTTTTATCATGTAAAAATTTCATGGCTGCTAATCTTATCACCATAAGTCATAGGTCATGCTCAATAGAAAACAAAATTTTGTTATTGTAATCTTATATTCACCAATGTGTCATCCATCCATCTTCTATGCTTCTTTATGAACATAAATAATGAAATAAAAAATCTCAAAAAAAAACAAAAAAAAATTTCATCTTAGTACCTTAAAAATTTCTCCCTTAAATTTTTCTTTTAAAATTTTCCTCTTAAATTTTTCTCTTTCATCTTAAAAATTTCATCTTATTAAACGATTCATCCGCTATTCCCGCTTATGGAAATTTCGAATTAATCTAATCTGTCTTGAAAATTTATCAAATTTATACTGCAAATTTGCATATCACTGATAATATTAGCCGTATCCTTTGTTATTTTAGTAAATGATAGTTGTTGTAAAATTTATCAAAATACAACAATTTATCCAAACTATCGGGAAAAATGTCAAACATTATCAATACTATCAAAGGATTGAGAAATCGATAAATCCCGATTACAACAACGAATAGCATTAACAAATGTATGGAAATGATTATTGTGAAAAGCAGAAAAGCATGCCTTCAACAACAATATCAACTGATAATATCATTAATATTCAAAAATCTCGGGATGAAAATGAAACTGTAAAATATACCGAAAAATTGCATCATTTAATCAATCATTCAAAGTAATCATTGAATATAACTTTTTTTTTTGATAAATTAAATTAAATTAACCAACAAACTTTTATTTGTTAAATTTTATCACATTTATTTAGATTTAATTAAACCTGATTAAGACTGTTTTTTTTTTATTGTAAATTATTTAATAATTTACTTTATTTATTACAAAATAACTTTTTCGGCATTAATAATTTTGTAAATTTATAATTTACCAAATTTTTTTCTTTCCTTATCTAATAAAATGCTAATATTACACTATGAAAGTGATTGTTTCTTTTTAAGGTATATTAGGTATATTAATGATTAAGGTATATTAAGTATACTTCTAAAGTATGTTAGTTATATTAATAGGTATATTAATTTAATTTTAACCAATTTTAGTAATTTTTCAAATTTTTTTCAATTTCTTATTTTTAAATATTTTCCTCCTTTTTTTCTTTTTTGTAATTCCTTATTTTTACTACGATATTTCCAGTATTTCATTTCCATTTTCATCATTTCGTCATACTATTGCACAAAATTTTACGATTGATACTTCGCGCGCAAAAACAAACAAACATATTGTTTCAATATGCGCCGCAAAATTGGGTTTACATGAGGTTAGCAAAAAAAAAAGAAACATCCTTTTTTTTCTATTAAAATTTTCATTCATCAATTAAAAATTAATTAATGAAAGGAAAATGCAAAGTATGCATTTGTATGATTTTATAAAAAAGTAAATTTAGCAATTATACAATGCCACTATTAATTATTAATTGTTAAATTCAATGAGAAAATAAGAAATATTAAATTTCAAAAAAAAGAAGAAAGCATTTTAATTGAAATTTTTGTAATTATTATTTTCAATTAATGGAAAATTTCAGTATCCAGAAGGACGAGAAGATGGTGGTATATGTGATATTTATTGGCATAATAATATGCAACACGATATACGATCAATTATCAAAAATCCTCAATGTAAAATTAATAAATTTCCAGGTTATATATTAATCGATTTAATAATTTTTTTTCAATTCAAAATTTACAATTGCAATAAATTTATACTATTTATTTTTTAATATTAATTTTTTTTTTTTTTGCATTCTATTATTGTGTTATCAATGTGTATACGATCGAAATGATTTCAAAAATTTTACTAAAAATCAATTTTATCTAAAAAAAAAAAAAACCAAGCAAACATCTCTTTTTATTATTCCATTTTCATTTTTTGTAGGAATGTCAGATTTATCGAAGAAAATTTCACTAACCCGCGCAATTACCTCAATGCGTCGATTATTTCCGGATGAATATGTATTTTATCCGTCAAGTTGGTTTATTCCGGCACAACTTGATGCATTCATTAAACATTGCAACAAATGCGCTAAATCCGGCGAACATTCGACATCATTTCAAAATAGCAACAATTGGTATATTGTAAAACCGGATGATGGTAGGAGAAATTGTTACTAATTCAAATTTACTTTTTCGTCAAACTATTATATTATTAGTGTAGCAAAACGTGAATTTCACGTACGCTTAAACGTATGTTATATGTTTCAAATGTTATGCATATATTAATTTACATTCCAGGAGCTCAGGGAACAGGAATTTATCTAATCCAAAAACCAGAAGAAATACGAAAACCTGAAACATGTCAACTTATTCAGGAATATATTGCTGATCCTTATCTATTAAATGATAATTTAAAATTTGATCTTCGCATTTATGCTATCATTAAAAGCATTAATCCATTATCAATTTATGTTGCTCGTGAAGGTTTGATTCTTAAATACACATAATTTATGAAATGCAACAAATTAAATTTCAAAATAGAAATAAAATTTTTCAAAAAAAAAAATTTTTTTTTAGTAACAGAACATATTTTAACATTTGGCATTATTAGCAAAATTCAATTATAACAATAAAATTTTTAGTGCAAAATTTTAAAATTAAATTTGAAAATGTAAATTAAAGGAACAAAATTTTTGCTTTTAAAAATAAATAATGGAAATAGTTAGTATGAATTGTAATTAAAGTTATTCATTCAATCAATTATTTTTTAATTACAAATTAATTCATTTGCACATAATTATTTACATCCATTTTATTGCAATTATTGTATTATGTTCTCCTCCTACTGCTTAATTATTTATTATAATTTAGGATAATTTGAAATTTCAAAATGTTTAATTTAAAAAATAAAAAACAAAAATGTAATAATTCCAAAAGATGGTGCTAAAATTATTTTCAAAATAAATTTCTTTCTTTCTTTCTTTCCTTTTCTCCCTCTCTCTCTTTCTTGAAAAGAAAAAAGAAAAAAAAACGAATAGGACAAATTTCATGATTTTATGATAATTTTTATCATTTTTGTTTTATTAATTTCATGATAATTTTGAAAATTTGAATTGTCCCTTTTTTTTTTAACTTTAATTTAATGAATCACTTAGGTATGGCACGATTTTGCACGGAACAATATGCTACACCAACATCATCAAATTTTGACAATTTATATGCACATTTAACAAATTATTCGTTAAATAAAGAAAATAATGCTTACATTCATAGCTTATCCTTAATAGATCAGATCAAAGGTTAATTTATTTGTTGCTATATTTATGTTTATTTTATTAGCACATGTATTGAAATGATCTTAAATGATAAATTGTAAAAAAAAAAAAAAAAAAAATTAAAGCAATAATTAGAATAATTTTCTTTGCCATTTTTGAATGATATTCTTTGTTACATTTGTAATTAATCATATTTTACTTATAAAATAATCACTTAATTAATATGAAGCTGAATTTTTGCTATAAATTAATTTAAATTTTCGCATATGTTTATGGACAAAAAAAAAAAAAAAGAAAAACAAATATGAAATGAATTCAATTCATTCTAATTTTAAAGTTTTCCATTCCATTTTCTTTTTAGCATTCAGAAGAAAAAAACAATTGTCGAATTTTTTCAACTAAAAAAAAAATATCGAAAATTATTTATAAAAGCTTAAAATTTATGCTCATAATTTTGTGCTAATTTTTCTAGGTAAACTTTTACAGCAATTGTTGTTTAATTAATTAACTAATTATTAAATTTTAACGTTATTGCATAGGCATTAATGTTTAAATCAAAAATTTTACAATATTATTTTAGGAAGTAAACGTTTATTATCAACTGTTTTTCATCAAATGGAAGCACGAGGTGTAAAAAAGCAACAATTATGGCATGATATTAAAATAATAATTGTTAAAACGGTAATTGCAATGTTACCTGAAATTATTCTTAATTATGAACATTATTTCTATGATACAATTGGTCCACAATGTTTTCAGGTATATATTATTTTGAAATATTTTAATTAATTCATTTTAATGTTAGAGTTAGATTTTAATTCAATTTTATTCATTCCAATATTTCATTCCAATATTTTATTCAATATAACTATACGAATGTATTAGTTGATTAATTAATTCAAATTACTTATATCATTTTTGTTATAAGATTAATCTAGATTGATGTTAATTATTACTGTAAATGTAAAAGTTATTCATATTCTTTGCAATTAGTAATCAATTATAATCATTTCAATATAATAGGATAATATTGTTAACATTAATTTATCTTTTTGTATTATTAATTTTCAAGTAATTAGTATAAAATTAAAATTAATGCGAATAAAATACATATATTATCAATTAATGCAAACACATAGGATAGTGTTATCAATTAATGCAAGCACATAAGATAGCGCTATCATTATCAATATATTAATAATATTTTATGGAAATTTCTC